TGAATGTTTGAAAATTGAAGAATTGGAATTCTTCAAATTGAAGGTTGTTTTATAATTAGTTAAAATAACTAATTATAATTAGTTAAAATATTAAAATAAAGAGTTTAATTTAACATGTACATAACCACCAATAATTAGTTTTTCAAATATATTTAAATGTGAAATTTACACAGGACCAAAAACGCAAATACAATGCAATAACAAATGCTGCTGCAGTTAATGGAAAGTAAAGATTTAGGTTGGTGCAGGTAAAGATTTAGTTAAGTTTTTTGTTTTTGTATTTTGCATTCATATTGTGTATTTATATTTTACTTTGTGTTTAGAAGCACAAGCTTGTAAATTTGCATTTACAAATTTGTTCTCCTACAAAATACAAATATAAATACAAAATATGAATGCAAAATACAAAAATAAAAAACTTAACTAATTTTTTACCTGCACCAACCCTTTAAAAACTTGGGAATAGGGAACAAACTCCCATTCCCATGCGATTCAGAATAGGGCTGAATATCTCCTTAGTTCACACTCCTTAAAGCATGAGGTTTATTGTAGTGAATACTTCGTAATTGGTTCAAATATTCTTGCTGCCATCTTTTAAGGTACCTAACGACTAACGACTAAAACGACTATTTAATATTGGAGATAGAGTATGTTTAAGGAATCAGAGTAAAAAACATAAGTTATCCCCTTTCTGGGTGGGACCGTTTGAAGTGACAGCAATACCGAGTCCCATGCATGTAAAGATTTTAATAAGAGGACGAGAAAAAGTATTTTATTCCAATTTGGTAAAGATATATAATTCTAGTTGATTAGGAGAAGTGAATATTGTAAATAAAGGTGTTGGGATGCGGTATTAAGGTAAATGGTATGCGGTTTACTTATAAGGAGAAGAAAGCACTTTATGAGTTAAAACCGAGTGCAAGTTGTTTAATTAAGAAGAATTTTGATATGATAAGGAATACGATGGAGTATGTAATCAAAATGGACAGTCATATAATAAGACTAATAAATATGAACAATGGAAAGCTGAATAGTACAGGTGACAGAAGGGTTCTATCATTACAGGAAAACTATTTCATTAATTATAATAATTGTACCTTAATAATAAATAACAGAATTTTTCGAAATACCGTGGGGAAGTTCCAACAAACTTTTGTGGTGTGGTGCTGTTCAGGGTAGCGTACAGTATTTACAGAAAATTGCAGCGTAATCTAAGTTTACAATCCATAGTGAGACATTATCCTCCACCACCCCTACCACTAGCAGCAGATGAGGAACAACGTGTTTATGAAATGATTTAGTGACTTCAGGAATACGGGAAAATTAGAATATAATTTTTTAAAGAGAGTAAGATAATAATAAGGTCTTGGGTAGGCTAATAGACTAGATAAGCTTTGGATAAGTAAGGATTATAGATAAAATAGGTTAGTTTGCGGTATTGGCAATCATATGTAAAGAGTAAAGTATATGTAAAGTATAAGTATATGTAAAGGATATGGGATTATGAAAAATATCTAAAACCAAAAGAAGAAAAAGAACAATTTATACATATAAATAATAAATTATATGTTCATACTGTAAAATTAAGTTAAAAGAACATCCCTAAAACTTTATTAAATTTGATAATATATAAAAGAAAAAATCATATATATAAGTAATAAATTATATGTTCATATTGTAAAATTACATTTAAAGAAATTTCCTAAAACTTTATTTGATAAGATAAGAAAAAATATATACACAATATATACAAATATATGCATTATTGTTTAAATTGTAAATGCGTTTAAGAAAAACCTCTAAACCTTTAAGAGATGATATACAGTGTTGTGCATAACAAAAGCAACCAAAATGGACACATCATATAAATAAATATTTTTTACTTTTCATTCAAAAACTTAAATACAGAGTTTTATTTGTTATTGTATTAGCTACAATAAAAAAACAACCATTTAGAATTTTATACCATTCATCTTTCATTACCATTACCTCAAACATTTGGGAAATTTTCGATCCCCAAAGCGACGTTTGAGAATGTCAAAATGTTCTCAATTGAATTCAAATCAGGCGATTGGACCTGCTAATCTTAAGATGGAATTTCGTTGTGTAAAATTCATTCTTTTACCAATTTTAAGGTGTGTTTTTTTGTCACAAAATATTTTTTTGTAAGCTACAAAACAAACTTACTGTCGTTTAAATATTTTTTAATTCTTGCTTCCTTAAACTTCAAAGTATACGTGTCACGACCCATGACAAAAACGTGCATCCATTACTTGATTTAATATTAAACTATTCTGCGTTTATGTTCTAATTTGCTTAAAAACATAAATCACAGCATAAAAAAGCAAAAAATCAAAATAATATCTTGTTAGATTACACTTTGGTCATAGATCTTGACATTGAACTTGTCTCAGTTGCTATTGTTTTGCACAGTCGCATTTTGCAATATTTCGTTATTTTTTTGAATTATTTAATCCGTTATGAAGAATTGTAAATTTTGTTGTTTTTTTATTGTAGCTAATACAATAACAAATAAAACTCTGTATTTAAGTTTTTGAATGAAAAGTAAAAAGTAGACAAAAAACTTATTTATGTGATGTGCCCATTTTGGTTGCTTTTGTTATGCACAACACTGTATATATATATATATATAATAAGATATAATTAAGATCTGTTTGTTTTTTTATTAACAAGAATTTCAAGAATATATACTATATTAAGATAAGATTAAGAAATATATTTAAAAAAAATTGTTAATTGATTACAAAAGTAAAAAGAAATGAAAAAATAACCGAATTACAAAAGCAGGCCTGACCTACCACAAAAACAAAGTAAACACTATTGGGGAAATAATTAACGAATGTAAAAAAAAAATTTTGCAAGTTTAGTTTTAATTTTTTTTAACTAAATTATTAAGTTTGTAAATAATTGTTTGTCCGCCTGGTTTAGGTAAGTCTGATTCTGAAACATTTCGCGCCGAAATATGTTCTTGGGAAAAGGGAGGGATGTTGTGTATATAGTTTAACTAGATACCCTAGAGTTTTATTTAACAATTTCTGCATACAACGCGGAAACGTTTTCATTTCCAAATATTACTGAGTTCAATCATTGAACTCAATAATATGAGTGAGTGAGTTTGTTGTGAATTGGAGGACTTGGGTAATTGATATTGAGATATATTAATGTTGATATATTAATATAGTATTAATATCAATTTTATATTGTTAACCGCCCCTGGAGTCTGCAGTAACGGCTGTATGGCGTGATATTTGCATGCCCATAGAGTTGTTGCTAGTTGTTTACACCAAATTTGAGATAAGGCATGTGGATTTTTGTTTTTGAACGAGGTAGATCAGTTGATTTTTGATATCAGCACAAAGAACTAGTAGAGATTTTTAATATAAATTAAAAAGAAGTGAATTAATTTTGGATTTATTAAGATTGGATTTGATATAAGAATATTGTTGAAGAGAACAATTAAGCATAATCTATAAATTAAAAATAAGTGAATTAAGTTGTATATTTAAATTTGGATATTTATTTAATAATGCTGTTAAAAGAACAATTAAGTATAGGATTAAAAACAAATTAAGTGAATTAACCTTATAATAAAAATCTGAAAATATTAAAACTAATAGTTTTTTGCATAAAAATTGGTCATATTAATGAAAAATAATTAACGAAAAAAAGGCATATTTCTATTGCAAACAAAACCAAGATGTGATAAAAAACATAGTGTAAATATAGAACAAATAACAGGAAGGAACAGTTACAAAAAATAACAACAAAGTAAAAGTCATAGAAAACATAAGAGGAACTCACAAAAGATATAGAACAATAAAAGGTAAAATTGAATCTATCAGCAGCAACACCATCGCAGCAACAACGAAATTAATAACAGCAATTTTACCAACAGCAACCACGACATCAACAACAGCAACTTTATCAACAGCAATAACAACAACGGCAGCAATTCAAATATTGTTTTATTTTTTTTATAGAGGAATTTAAATAAATAAAATCGTTTTGAGACACAACTGAACAATGGACAATATACTTTTAAAACAGGCGATAGAAGTACATAGCAGTGATAGCAGTAGAGATCCGGGGCAGGGGAAAAAAACAAATAAAAACAACGCAAACTAGGGGCTGAAAATGGCGCAAGTTCGATAGTGAAATGTTCCTTGAAATATGGAAAGATGACAAAATCTTAGACAGCATTGCTACAGACATGACGATTGGCAATTCAAAGTGTTTAACATGAGCGTGCGACACATCGATGGCAAGTACAAAACGCAAACCAGTAGGAAGACCTGTATATTGGTGGACCGAAGAAATCGCTGAAGTACGCCATCAGTGCAACAGAGCACGAAGAGCGCTGCTGAGACAGGGGCATAATTAACCATACAAAGTGTGACAAGAGAATTACAAACAGCACCGTCGGCGACTTAAGAACGCAATACAAACAAACAAGCGCGCTTTTGAGGCACTTCAAGAGTATGCAGATATTGACGCATGAGGAAAAGCGTACATAGTAGAAATGTTTTCTCTTAAAGGCCCGAGAGCAACGCAACCGCCTTTCGCAGACCATGTAGTTAAAACACTATTTCCTCAGGCGCAACTAAATAGAGGCCTGAGCTATCCGCCAGTTGAAAAAGACGAAGTTCCAATAGTGACTGCACAGAAGGTATTTAAAACTCTTGAAAAAATTGGTGACAAAAAGGCGCCAAGTCTAGACGGCTGTAATCGAAAATATTTAACGCCTTCAATTTATTGGCGTTTTTTATTTTATTAAAGATTACTTTTTTTAAAAAGAAAAGAAAAGATTGTTTTAGTGGAGAACTTGATACATTTCTTATGAGTGCATTTCTGGATCTGATTTTTATTTGGATTTTTACTAACGACTTAACCTAGGTACATACGACGCAGCGTTTTTACTTCCTTATATATTAAATATATTGCTAAGTAATATATTTATTATATATATTAATATTTAAAATATAATTTAACTTATGTACATAACGGCGCAGCATAAGCACTTTTCTATTTAGTAATTTATTGCTAGGTAAGCGTCTACGATTCCACTTGTCTCGAGTACGCTTACTGTTGGTGTTGTTGTATATGCGGTCAATGTCTGAAAACATACGGTTAAGTAGAAGGCAAAGTTCCGCCGATATGTGTGGTGTCAAATTCCCTTGTGTGTGGAATTATGCATTTGTTTGTAAACAATGCAATGCGCTTGGAAACAATTAGTGTATTTGTATATTCACTGCGCAATCAAATATAGAACTACTTATTATTATATTAATAATATGTATTGCCCATATAACTATCGCATATACATTACACGGCATTATCGCTTATCAACAAAGTAATTTGGATTCAGAAGTAGCAAATCCACAATAGATGCAATTCGAATGGTGACAGAGATAGCACGAAAAGCTATAAGTGGCACCAGGTTGAGATTTGACGATAATACACTGAATCAATCAATATTATTGCTGAATGGCTGAATAAAGCAAACCTAGACCTCGCAACAGAAAAAATAAGAACAGAAAGGTAAAAGAATTGATAACTTTTAGGGCAGTAAGTTGTAAAATAACATTCCGACTCTATATAAAGTACATAAGAGTACTAATGGACACTCGTATGCCTTTCAAAGATCATCTTAACATAGTGAACGATAAGACAATACGTGTATATGCTGCGCTAACACGCTCTATAGCAAATATTGGTGGCCCACGAGCAAGCAGAATTACTGGCAAATGTAGTAAGCTCCATTATACTCTATGCAGTACCAGTTTGAGCTTATGCGTAAGAAAACTTGTCTGTCTGGCATAAAATCAACGTATCGCCTCTGCGCATTGAGGGTCACCATTGCCTTCCTCACATTCTTAAATGAGGTAATAAGAGTAAAAGCGGGAATGCGATCAATAAATATATTGGAGCAGCCCAATATATCCAACCGAAATAGAGGATGCTGAACACATGGTTTTCAAATACTCGAGTTTTAAAAAAGGACAACAATATGTACAGAATAGTTGGAAACCTCATCAGACAAATAGGTAAAGCCGTCTGACAGGAACAGAGACAACCAACTGACGATATACGCAGAAATGCTTGGACGGCCTTAAATATTTTACGGTGATGCCAAGAGAAAATATCCATTGATGTAAGAAGATGTTTTGCGGGTTAAAGTCACTCACTGATTTTAGAGTTTTGATACTTTGATTACTTAAACCTCTCGAGTATTTGCCAGTTATGCTATTCTACTTAGATATATGTACACTAGGGTGCCATTAATTTTCGAAAGTCGGAAAATTGCCCGCGGCACTTAGTGTTTACAGCTGTCGTATCAGAAACTAAAGCTTGCACGTAATCCTGCAAACCCCATTCAAATAGCAGATGCCTATGCTCTTCCTATACCATTTTTCAAATAATAGGTCAACGGTCCACATTTTGTTTTCCTTCTAAAGCTGGCAGCAATTTTTCATCCCAATGCAAAATTCTACTCTTTTTAATGCAATTTTTTTTTAATTAATTGGTATTCGTGCTTGTTGCCAAAATATGATAACTTCTTTTATAGTTAATATAGCATTTTCGCTTAACCATAACTTAACCACAAGCATGGTAAAAAAGGACTTTTAATATTTCCCTATTTGATGGTAATTTACTTCCAGTCAACCTACTAGAATGATAATCAACAATGTATATATTTTTACGCAAATTCACTTCGTATTTCAATGAATAACACAGAAACTCATTTATGTATAGAACTATCCAAACGTTGGACTTATTTTGTACCAAATTTAGTAAACAACATACAGTCATGCGGGCTAATGCATTCATAGAACTTACTAAATTCAATCGGGTAATTTCAGCTAATTATTTCATTTATTCAATAACTATTAGAAATACAGAAAATCTTTGTATGAGTGAATTGTTTATTTTTAATAGATCTATAACTTTTAGCAAGACAGTTCTTATGTAAAATTATATATATCGGAGATATAAGCAACCAAAGATGAATTTTATGGAAAAAATCGTTATTTTCCAATCTTTGGAGCTCTTGGGGCACCATTTCCACTTATCCAATTGAACTAAAATTTTACACAGATTATTATTTTAGTAAAATGAACTGACCTGGAGAGTGCCGTCAACCGATTTTTCAAAAAAAAATTGCCCATATACCTTAATGGCACCCTAATGTACATATTTTTGTAAAGCTGATTCCTTAGAACTTGAAATGAATCATTTCTGTGGCTTTGGCGAATGTGAATGCATAAAAGTAGTGCATGAAAATAACATTTACTCGCATTTGTATTTGGTTTTCTATGAGTGTATTCTTAGTGTTTAAATTATAACTCGTTACTTTTTCTTCTTGATTTCTTGCCTGATTCAGTCTTTGCAAAGTAAGGGCTACGCCACGAGCATCCACCTCTTCTCGAAGCTCATTTGCCTTTTAATTATTGTGCGTATAATCATTGTCACGTTTTACAAGCTTATTTGCCCTATTAATGAGTGAGAAATAATAAGTAAATAAATTAAAAATACGTAAATACTCATTTTTGTTCTTTTAGCAACTATTTATGTATGTATGTTAGAAATTTTAGGTTAGAAATAAATAAAATAATTATTTTTAATTTAATTATATAGAACTGGTTTTTATATGTCAGAGCTGCTATACATGTTCGGAGAGCTAGATGAACGAGTGCGACCATTAATGTTTTGTGTACGTCGTTGGGCAAATAGTTGTGGCTTAACTAATCCGTCTCCTGGACGTTGGATCACAAATTTTTCACTTACCTGCCTTGTAATTTTCTTTTTACAAAATCTGGAACAGCCCATTCTGCCCACTATAAACTCGCTTTTTAGGTCCGCATCGCAAGAAGATGTACATATTACTGAAGACGGTATCAATTGCAGTTTTACCAGAGACTTCAAACGTACTGGATTCCATTGTAAAAACAAAAGTCAAATAAATGAATTACTTTTACAATTTTTTGAATTCTATTCACAATTTGATTTTCATAATCGTGCATTATCTCTCAATGAAGGGCGTGACTTACCTAAACCAGATCATTCAGCACTGTATATAATTAATCCATTAGAACAGGTATGTTTTATTACTATTATAATCGTGCAATTTGATTAATTTTAAACTGATTTTCTTGTTCTGCAGATATTGAACGTAAGTAAAAATGTTAGCCTAGAAGAGTGTGAGAGATTGCGAATTGAAATACGCAACGGAGCGTGGTTACTAGAGTCTGAAATTGAATATTCTACAATTCCAAAAAGTGATAAATATTCAACATCCTGGGGAATTCTTAATCTATTTAAATCTCATGAAAATACGATTACACGTCCAAATTTTTTTTTAAAACCACGTATGATGGAAATAAAAGATTTGTTTGATAGAACGGGGACAGACAATCCGACACCAGTTAACGGTAATAGTAGTACTAAATTTAAAAATTTAATTGTAAAAAAACAAGTGCAAAATATTAAATCACAAGCGCGTACTGAGATAAAACAGATGCATTTGAATGCAACTACATCGAGTGCTGTGACGATGACAACTACGACACCTATAAAAAAAACTTTAAAGAGTAAACGAAGTAGATGAGATCATAACTAAGAATAGGAATGTGTAACTTTATTTTTTACTGTTTCATAAAATCTGTAATAAATTTATTTTAAAATCGATATTTTATTTCTTTACTAAATTTAGTTTATTAAAATAATTTTATTTATTTCATATATATTTCTGATGAGAAGTAAAATAAGTCTTTGTTGTATTACATGGAAAAGGACCTTCGAAACAAAGAATTTCACTAATAATAATATACCGGTAACCACCCATCCATATGTGATATTATGCACTAGCCAGTCTATCTAACTAAATGTGCTTGTCAGAATATAGTAAATAGGTAGATGTATTATTCTGCATACTGAAAAATTGACTTAGCAACTTTTTTGCAAAATTCTACAATTGTCATTTTTTAAGTTTATTGATATACAATTTTATATGACCTGTTGCATTAGGCTATCAATGTGGTTCTCATTCTGCTAGAAACTCCACGTAGACCACCCGTAGGTCTATTGTATTACCTTGCTATTCATTTTAAGGATTCTCCAAGAATTAGGCTAGACTAGACATTTGTACAATAGATTACTATTATTGTTAGGGGATGTAGCACTTGGATCATCGGGTCGGTTGTGCCCCCTTCTGGGCTTAGAGTAGCCCTATTGCGTCAATGAAAAATAGTATAGAACCTACTTTACAGAGTTTAATTGCCTCTTCCGTAAGATTACACATTTCTAGGAGCTTATTTCGTATGTTCACTAGCGCAGGGCATTCTAACGGTACATAATTGGCTAATAAAGTGAAGGTGATTTGAAATCACTGATTTCATATAAATAGACCATGATTTTATATGAAAGATTACTTAGCGCCAGTACATCGAAGTGAGAAGACACCTACTTCATAGCTAACTCGCGAAGAAATTTTTACCCCAGTAGTATTCTGAGACTCTATGCTAGATCAATTTGTAGATTGTTAGAGTTTATAACGTCGCATGGCATTTTAAAGCCATAAGCTACAATCTTTGTATTATTAGAGGTTAGTTAAAAACATTGTATTATTATAGTTTATACCAACACACGGCCTTGTAATTCCGTTCAATATTGATGAGTACGCATTTTAAAATTGCGTAAATATCCACTTGGAAGGTGCTAGTATTTTTCCCTAGCATACAATAGATAAAAGCTTGTTAATTTTTCTTCTTCCACATGACCAAGGCCGCAAATTTTCTCAGTTAGAACTCAAAGTTTATGCATGAAGCTTAAACAGCAATATTTGATTACAAGCCATATAAAGTCACTAATTTGTTTTCTATTAAACACAAGTTCTAATTTTCCGATCACATTTGTGTCGCTTTAAGTTATTGCTTGGTATATAAATTATAATAAAATGTAATCAGAATTTTAATAATTTGATTTTTGAATTTATTGTTAATGGCGGGAACGCACTACTATTTTACCAATAGGTGCTTTCGGCAGCTCTTACGTATGGCAAAAAAAGTTGCTTAAATGTACGCAAAACAACAACACTATCTCTGTCTAAGCACGTAGTTGTGATTTAACTTCACAACTACGTGCTTAGACGTGCTTTGTCAACTACAGAAAAAAGTGTTACCAAAGAATAGGCGAACCATTGTAAAACTTCGTTAGAAATTTCAACGAATATTCCAGTCACATGTCAAAAGATTGTAAACAAATTTAAACAAAATTAAAGTTTCACAAATATGAATATTTAAGAAATTAAATGTTTTAAAAATATGGGAAATTGGAGAAAATAAATATTTTAAAAATATACAAAAATTTTTAGAAGTTCTTATTAGTTCTATTATTAGTTGCTAACAAGTTTACACTTATTAAAGCATCAATATTCTAAACTATTTTTAATTTTGTTGTAAATTGATATTTCAATATTTCCTGCATTCTAAACATTGTTTTTAGTTCATTATTTTAATTTTTAAATTTAGCTTTATTACTTATTTTTATACAAAATGTAATTTGATTGCATTATGTGCACATATGCAAGATTTGTTCTTTGCGAAAACATAACTGTTGTGTACGCCTGTATGGACGGAGACATATTAAAATTAAGAAAAATAAAATAAAATCCATGATATTACCTGGGTTGTTCCACGCTGTCCAAAAGCACTTCACGCAGTGCCATCCTCACCAACAGAGTATTTTGTAATGACCCCAAGGTATATCAGAGTTCAATACAAAAATAATAAAAAATAAAACAAAATTCAGTTTTTTATTAGTTTTATTAGGGGTATTCAGGCCACTGATTAGTTGCTTAGTTGATTCAAAAACATCATATAAAAAAATTAGCAAAATGCGTAATCTGATTAGTTTGTTATGTGCAAATACCTTGGCAGCACTCGTATCAACAGCAAAAACGAAACGTATGTTGTAAGAACGGAATTTTGTACAAATTTCCGCCCTACATAAACTTATAATTTTTACAAAAATTCGTCTTTACATTAGGCGTATTCGGTGGCTCGCAAGTACGGTAAAAAACAGCAAGTTGTTGGCCTATACTGGCCGCAATGTATGCAGAACAACAACACTGTTTTCTCTACCTCGGCCAGCATAGTTATGCTGGCCAACCACATCGGCCAGTAAAAAAAAAATGTTACCAACGCAATAAGCGAACTATTGTGAACCTTCATTGAAAATTCCAACGAATAGTGCAATCAAATGTCAAAAAGTGAGGAAATAAAAATTCAAACAGAATTCAAAAATTTGAAAAATCTTGAAAAGTAACGAAGAAATAATAAGAATGGAGAAATCGTAAGTATTAAGCACATTGAATTTTTTATTATGTTAGTTATTACCAAGTAGCATTTATTTTAATTCATTTAATTTGTAGTTTACATACATAAAATTAATAAACAAACATAATTTTTGAAGTTTTTCTAAAAAATTTTTTATAGAAATACACGCAAACTATGGACCACAAAGGAAACGAAGTGTTTTCTAGAGTGCTACTTGACACGAAAGGAAGAGAATCTTCAGAGGAGGTTGTTGCGGCATTCATAACATTTAAAAAATCCGTGAAACAACTTGCATCCCTCGGCCACTGCAAAACGTTGCTTCCTTCTCCCAACATCGACAGTACCTACAAAAATTTACTTATCTTAGTGTTTTATTTTTAAATTTCCAATATTCTTACCATTCCTTTTAATTCCGTGTTCATTTTAATTTTATAATATTTCTATAAATATATATTTGATTTATATGCACATATACAAGATTTGCTGTTTGTCAAAACAAAACATTTGACAGATTGCAACAGTGATGCCAATGACTCGCGTGGCCAACATAGGCCAACATGCATTTTTTGCCGTACTTGCGAGCCACCGAAAAGACCTATTAAAAATCTATTTATATATTTTAAACAACCAAGCAGCGAACATCCACACGCACAGCCAGCACAGCAGAGCCAGCAGCGAACATCCACACGCACAGCCAGCACAAGTCAAGCCAAGCTCACGGCAGAGCCGTTACCTCGCGAAGAAATGCATTATTTGTTTACGCACGCGGAACTACACTTGTGCGGTTGTGCGTGCAAATAATAAAGTGAGAATAATTGCATATAAATAGACGAGATTTTTGTATGCAAAAGCACTTAGCGCCAGCATCCCGAAGTGAGTAGTCACCTACTCTAACGCTAAGTATTTTTGAAAGCCTACAGTATTTTGATACTAAGGCTAAATAAATTTGTAGAATCTTGCGAAGAATCGTATATAACGCCTCTGATGTTCTGACATCGTTGGCTAGAGTTTGTACAGTAGAGTAATTTTATATAACGCCTCTGATGTTCTGACATCGTTGGCTAGAAGCTATTTAGTGAAAATTTGTATAACTTCTGTAGCATAATAATTAGCATAAGTTAATTTGGAAGCTCTCTTGAGTCAATAAAATTTTATAATTAAGACAGTCATTTTAACACTACAAACAGCGTCTTTGCTTTTCCTTGGTCTCAGAGCAAAGAATATCTTTACAAGAACGGAAACTCCGCCCACTTCGTGAGAGTGCATTTGAAATTGCTTTTGAAAACTTATTTTTTATAACATTTTGGCACACGTATTAAATATATGTGATCTTACCACGATAACATCAAATTGCTCTCTTTTTGGGGTTGCAGTATAATAATTTGCTGCTACTTGCTAATCATATGTTAACTTTTTAGTAATATAAAAAACTTATGCTTCCCTATTTGGTTAATAATATTACATTACGTAAACAAAATATATATTGTAACAAGTAATATATGATAAATAAATTTATAAATTAATATATAATAATTTGAATCAATTAATTTAAATCAGTTTAGTTTGTTTAATAATGTAATATATATTCAGTAAATTAATTTTTGTTGCTATTTTCATATGAATTTTATAGTATTTTAATTTATTACGTTCGGCAACAAACTTTTGTAGAAGCAAATTTTTTAATTAAATAAAAACAAACAGTTTTGAATATTTCTTATTTAGTGAGTTATATTTTCTTATATATTTTTTGAGCGTGTAAAACATTATTTCAAAAACAATTTTGATATAATAGCATTAAATACCGTTTTGATGTGAAATTAATAACAAAGATTGAAGCTACTACCAATTCACTTTTTTATACGGCAGCACTTAAGTGATCCATGATAAATTGTGTTTCTCTGCGAAGACTTAATTTTTAAATTTAGTGCCAAAAAATATGTTGATGAGGAAGGGTGTACGCGCATTCCCTTTAAATGTGTGGTACGTATTATTGCCTTGCATGCATTTCTAATTGATTAGTAACAATAAATCTGTTGATAAGGGAGGATGTGCGCGCATCCGCTCTAAATGTATGTGGTGAATAATACTTATTATTAATTTACGTACATTAGTGTGTGATCAGTAGCGAAAAATCTATTGATAAGAGTGGGTGCATGCGCATTCATTGTCGGATTTATGAGTTTTTCTTATGAAGATATATTTTTATATAAAATTTAACAATTTTTAAATTTTAATATTGAAAAATTTTAATTTTATATTATGATTATAAAATATATTTATATATAAATACTAAAGTATTTAAAAATATTAGCTAAGTTTAATTAAAAGAAGTACAAGTTGTTTACATAATTT